CTTGCGGGACACCATAGAAAAGGGTGGGCTTCTTCCTGCCACTTAAATACGAATGCAAGGAATATACATGACATACAGACAGTAGCTACCTGCCCATCTAAATAAAAACCCAGTAATAGCATCCATATATTGACCTTTCTCTAATTAAGAAGTTTTTGTTTCTTTAAACTACCAAGAAGAAAAATCACAAGTTTAATGCAGGTCATCCATTACCACTGGATGCAATGCTTTATAGATCCAAACCATGTCCTTGACCTATGCAAAAAAGCAACACTATAGCTGTTCGGGTAAAATACTGGCTCTCTAGCAGTGCCAGTTCTACTATTCCTGGAACTGCCCTGCACTCCTCAAGTTAAATATAGCCATTAACACGGGTTTAAGTGAAAACCCTAAGCTGCAAAACGCAGTAGCTGAGGAGCTAACCCACTGCAATGTTTGCTATCTACATATTTTTAACCAATGCAGAGAGTGGCCAGTGGGAGATGGTCAACCTTTAAGTTGCCACCGTTATGTCTGCAAGAAGTCACCAGCTGCACCCACACCTCTGACCTTGCTGGACTCCACTGGTGTTCCCTGGGACCCTGCCTCGATCAGCACTGGAGAAGGAAGAGGAGTTAAACCAGCTGCCAGTTTTGCCACTGAAAAGAACAGAGAAAATGGAAGTGCATTTCTCAAAAAGTAAGCCGCTGTTAGAAAAAGCAACTTGGGGAAGTCTAAAACTTTCTCTGATGTTTAGTTTGTCAAAGCAATTTCACTGTTACAGTTTAATCTTCTGAGTTGGGTATCAGCGTGGGTTACGAACTTTCTACTTCACTTGTACACCAATGGAGTGTATCAGCCACAAAGGCACAATTCCCTGTCAATGGACACTTGTTTAAACCCTCTGCACATTATATGCTATATTGTGGGTTTTTTTTTTTTGGTAAAATCTTAATATTTTTTGTTTGAGAAACTGGATTGGGGCAGGAGGAAAATACCATGCAGGGCTTTCAGAAGGACCGTGCTGGTGTAAGAGCACAAGCTCTGCCTCAACATTTTGAGCATTAGTCAGTGACCGCGCTTACAGTTTCTTGTCACTTGAACATACCTGACTCTTCCCCAAAGTCAACTGAAAGACAGGCTTGATCTGTCTAAGCAGCAGGTGACAATACCTGAGATACCAAATTCACTGGCACTCTATAGATACTTCAGATACTTAGAGGTCAGTCAACACTGAGGCCAAGTTACTTATATTTCCCTATATTCCCCAGGACTTCAGTTTTCAGTTACAGCTTCCTTTACGGAAAGGTGGAAAAGCAGAGTAAAAACCGTACCTGAGCACCAAGAAGGGGAACATACAGTCCCCACACACCAAGCAAACCAAGCATACACCTTGTAATACACAAATCTTATCCTCCATTAGTTTCATTACTACTTTCATTACTACTTACATTAACAATAAAAAAACCTCAACAATGTAATGTTGAAATAAATATCAAGTTAATAGAATAATAATTTCCCAAGAGAAGTTCTTTTTTCAAAGTCTAGTGCTATAAAGGAAAAACAAGGCAGCCTAAGCAAATTTTGCATCTTAAAGGAAGGTACGAGACCTGCCCTTGTTGCCTATGGGCTTAGGGACTGGCCGCAGTGACTTGACAGGCTTTCAAAAGTGCTACGCTCCTACACACTGAAGCCTGATTAAAACAAACTAGGTGAGCGCCAGGAGCACTAACTACAGCGGCCCAGGACTCTGCATGAGCTAATTTACCCTGACTCAATACACGTTAAATTAGCTTGCACAGAGTTCCCTGCTATCATTGCTAAACCACTTCTGATACTTGCACTACTTTATTTTACGGACACTCAGGGAACCACATAACACAGCAGTCTGCAATGTAGCCATACCCGTAGGGTTTGAGATTATGTCAGGTTTTACTGATAGGCTGGATTTCACAAGGCTACACGTGAACAAGGTGTTTCTAAGAAGTTGGCTGAAAAGGAGAATCCTTTGAATTTTTTAAATAGACCCTGCATGCTGTGTAGTCAACCCTCTTGATCTCAAAATCTCTCAAATCCAACTGCAAACCAGACTTGGGAGGGATACAGAAAACTCCTATCCCGGTTAGTAAACAGCCAGGATATTTGCCTGTCTGGCTAGACTCCTTAGTCATATTGGGCATTTACCAGAGGCCAGTGATGCCTTGCATTCCCAAAGGAGGTCACGGAGAAGAGAAAGCACTCAGCACGTCCAAAGAGGAGCTAGCGGATGGGATGACCTCAGTCGTCCCCAAATTAACTAAAATCAGCAGAAGAATGAAGATATTAAAAATGGGGTTTGGAGGATACAGAGGGAAGACCCCAAGTTTCCTGGAAGAAGACATTTACACCAAGGAGGAGCAGGTTCTGTGCAGTCCTCTCCACTGCCTATCTTTGTTTCCTCTAGGAATGTTGTGATTAATGGGGAGCTACACATGGCAACGACCACTGACTGTAAAATGATTCATGAATCTTTACTAGGTCTTCCAGTTCACTGCAATAGTTTTAAGTATGCCACAACACAGAAATCTCTCACACACCCAAGAAATACCATAGTGTCTACTGTTCTCTGAAAAACTACTATTCTGGCCAGTAAGACATGTCACTGTACACTCCTGAGCTGCCTTCTGTCCTGGCTCCATGATCAAATTAAGTCAAGTTGCTGTGCTACTCTTGCCAACTCTGGTATTCTGTCATGACCATTAGCAAGGAAATTGAAGAAGTAAACTTTGCTTGCTGTTGAATTCTGAACATGCTGTGGAAGTACACGCTCTGCAAGCTGTATCAAGGTCCGCATGTTTTTGGTATAAAAGGAACTACATTTAAAAACACTGTTGAAGATACATACCTTGGTTATAACATGTCATCTACTATGTAAAGTTTAGACGTGATTTCTTCCCTCATCTGTATGTGGGTTTTCTAAGTATGCGCAAGAGGCATCTATCTCACTTGGGTGACTTTGAAAATTTCAGAACGAACTACTGATGTAGATATAGCTAGGATTAAGTAAGCAGTAACATATTCTCAGATGACATTATTCCATCTAAGTCCTTACTGATGGTCAGTCCAATCCTATATGATACAAGACTGCCTATGTCACACGCCTTTTCAGTTGTATCCAAGTTAATGCAACATATTCCAGTAGTATGCTCATCAACTGCTGAATCCTTGCTTAATAATTTACTTCCATAAAATCTTAAAATGATCATCAGGAAAGAACGAATGCAAAAAAGCCTATGAAAAACATAGCTGTTAGAAACTAAAGTTTTCATTCTGGAATGACACAATATCATCCGACTGCATCCACTAAAAATTATTCAGGTCTATACTAAATCCAAAAGTTGGAAAATTTTCCTAAAATCCATGCATTCCAGCAAACAGGCTTAAAAAACAAATGTTTCTGAAGGTCCTATATTTGGGTGAGACAATGGTGTATGCTACTACTTTATGATAGCTGACGAGAACTTTTGAGAAGCACAGTTCACCTCTGGGTGTTGTCTTGTGTCCCTCCTTTAGTAAGGCAAGATGTAGGTATTTTAGTGAGCAACGCATCTTAGTGCAACAAGTATGAAAGTCACCGCAGGACTGACTTTAAGTAGTTCTTAAATTAAGTTGCTTCCATCACTGCCAGAAAGAAACAACATGATTTCATAGATAGGTGTGGAAGGATTTTTAATCAGCTCACCTGATGTAGCTATTCCATATCCCCATCGAAAACGCTTACATTTTTTTTCTACAGCATAATGACACGCAATTGACAGCAAAGGGAAAGGGAGAACCCATAATTTCACATGAGAATTTAACTCGTTCCACTCCTAATATCTATCTACTGGTTAAGGAAGCAACAACCCATCCTCATTTTCTCCCTAGCCCTCGTGAACTGCATTGCATGTCCACATAAACATGGCTGTGCTAATTCCCAACAATACCTGGCTGGTATACAAAAACTGTCCTCTCATTCTGAAAAACATAAATTAAGAGATTCACAAGTCTCAACAGCAGCACTCTTCAGGGTTTACTGAATCTGGGCCGATCACTTCATCTCACTACTGTGTTGTTCAGAGTTTCTTCTGCCAACTAAAATCCTGAAAGTCCAGAGATTTCTCAAGTAGGCCAGAGAACTCCTACAAGGACCTCAGGCCTAGGACCCAAAGTGCAAGGTTAAGCAAATACCTATCCAGAGGTCTATCGAATCACTTCTTCAGCGAGACACATTCATTTTTTGGCAGTGCTTTACATCCACTGATCACAAGATGTTTCACAAGCGAGCTGACCGTCGGTAGGCACGGGGAAACAAAAGCAAGAACAAAAATGAAACATGAAAAAGTGAAATAAGAACTCTGGCAGTCTAATGACGGACTGGGGTAGGGGAAGAGAAGGGAAAAAACTCCCTGCATTTCAGCCTTGTGCACTACATACTAGCCCATGCAGTTTCACTAAGCAGGATTAGCTATTTTGATGGCTTCCAATAATCCCTAAACTTGGATATTTTTCATGCTGTTTTGATTCTTTAGAGTTTCCAAAGAAAAACACCTCTACAACCTCATTTCCTTATATTAAAGCAGCAGAGAATCCCCTCGCTGTCATAGTCCCTCTGCCCTGGCTGCTATGTCTGTCCTCATGATCAACTTTCCCACAATGTCAAGGTAAGTTTGCAAGTTACAGAGATGCTCACGGCCAGTTTGTTAAACTGTGAACCTCCCGTGACAGAAAGTTGCTGCATGGCTTCATCCTTGCTCTCCACTCACAGGGATAAAGCATGTTATAAGCAAAGAAATACCACCGAGTACAAATGAAGGCCTCTTTTTTGTTGACATAGTAAGGTCTGAACTTTTTTTGAAGTAACATTGTTGAGGATGGAATCCTATACGTTCACCTGAATTATTCAGAAGTCCAAGAAACACCTATGCAAAGTGGGGTTTTGAAGTTCTGGTCTAACTTCCTTGTGATTTCAATGTACGCAGCTGCTGAAATCTGTTCCTTACCTTTACTTTACTGAGGACCATGGCTCTAATACAGAACAGTTAGCTCCTGCCACCTTGTGGGACTCCGCGGATTTCCCTGAAAGCTTGTTTCGGTAGCAAGTCAGCCGGCTAAAACAAATAAACATTTTTTTCTTGTGTTTCACAATGCCGAATGTTAAAATAAGAGAGAAATATTTATGGAGAGGGTACGCTAGGCTGAATATTTTCTGCTTCATTATTTCTAGCATTGCTTATATAGTTGAGCTGCTGGATTCAGTAATCATATGGAGGGTGTTTTAAATATTTAAATATCTGTCAAGAATCCTAAGTTTTGCATAGGCTCTTTGCTGATGCATACAAGTTTAAAATAACACCATGATCAAATACTTGTCACCGGCAGTACATTTCACATATCTGAAATAGATTTCAGATAGAAATAATACAAAATTAGGCTGCAAATCCTTGCACTCAGGAGCAAATTTGAAACCCAACAATACCCGAGTCTTGCAAGGAATTATGCATATGTCTAACTTTGGATATAGTGACAACTTGCAACCAGTTCTCCCAGAAGATCTGATTCCACGTGCTCAACTAACCGCAAACTGACTTTCCAATTATTATCCCCCCACCCCCCACCCCCACCACCTATCATAGTGGTAGAAATAATGAATCACTGAAATACTCCAGAGTAGAATGAGACACTTGGAACGGGAGAACATTTTCAACCCAGCCACGAGCAGATGAAGATTGACGGATTTCTGCCCTCACATCTTACCTTGCCTACTTACTGATCCCTGTCAACGTAAACAGCAGCCACTCAGACAGGTAACCCGTCACACCTACTTAGAAGATGTGCAAAAGACAACAGTAGCTGCCGGACCACAGAGCAAGAGATGGGAGGTTTTCTTTTTACTTACAGAAAACCTCTACTGCTCCAGATCTCTAAAGAAGAAAAGCACAGAGCAGCGTGGATGATGCGAAGCCACAAAGCTGCTCAACAACCTCAAGGAACCTGCTCCTTTCAATTCACATCAGAGCTAAGTGATTTGCTGCAGATGTATAATAATGCAAGACGGGTAAAGGAGCACTTCTCACCTCCCCCCACTAATAGCTTCACTAAACCTCACAGAGATTTCCAGTGTCACATATTTGATGCCAACTGTAGCAAACTTAACTCTTTGGAACTTTCTTCTGGTAAAGGAAAAACTGTCAAGAGACTCAAAACAGGAACAGCTCTTCTGATGTCATAAGCAAATCATCTTCAGTAAAGGCCTTAGTAGCTCATAAACAAACTCAAGAACAATAATTACAGATCCACAGCCAAAGGAAATACAGCAGGAACGTCCTCTTTTACCCGTAAGGGGAATGCATTTTTGTTAAATGAGTGAAACAACAACATAACGTCAGGCAATAGATGAAGTTGGCACAACACACCTGAGGGACGAAATTTATGTTCTTATGTAAAAAGAATTTTATGATTTTATGACACAGGCTTCCCTGGTAACTTCACAAGTGGGGCTGTCTCTGACAGCCCAGATTATTATCCCCATCTCCTCCTATGTATTTTAAAAGTCCTAGTGGGCAGACAATTAACTCAAACATCGAAGGTCAGAAGTGCCCACGACGACGTCTCAGCTCTTGGGCTGAGAATCCCTCCCAGACTGAAGAGGGCCTGTGTCCGGACTGTGTTTCTGGAAGACACCAACACGTTCATCACCGTCGTCCTTACGCAACCCAATCTCCACCACAGAAAACCCAGACAGACAGATAGGATAGGAGCTCTACAAGAGATTCCTCAATCTGGACGACTAGGGAATCAGGACTGCAGGACGCATTACACTCCCCCAGGTAAGATACAGCCAATGCCCTGCAAGGACAGCCCACGTACAATCATATTCTTCCCTCACTCTGGGTATTAGGAATACAGATGTCTCCCACCTGGGAGCTATCTGGTTCAGCCCTCTCCCTGCTCAGGAGTATCATGTCACCAAAGTCAGTCTCGCTGTAACTACAGGCACGCATCAAAGCCACCTTCAGTCCCTGGCAGTAGACAAGGAGAAACGGCCTTCTCTAGCACCAGAATGGATCAGATCCAACACCCACCGAAGTACTCTCACCCACACCACAAAGCACTAAAGAAAAACACTAAGACCCTACAAGGAACTCTGCTTGACACAAATGAACCTTGGCAACTGCCATGGCCTCTTATTCCTGTTTTTCTTCTCTACCAGTCCGATACTCTGCACTGTGAGTGACGCAGTGGAAAGACTCCAAACTAACTTTCTGCTTGCCTGCGCACTCAGTCCAAAGGCAGTAGCAGGGGAGTTCAGCTATGACCTTGTTCTTCAAGCCAGTTCAAGCAGCAGCATAGCCACCTCTCGTACCCTGACTAGAAGGGCTCCTCTTCTTGGTGAGCATGACTGATGGTCCTGACAGTAACAGCATTCCCAAGCAGCAAACAACTGAAAATGATCTGATCATTCTCAGTTCTCACTCTGTCTGCAGAAGTCTAAACATCGGCATGGAGAACAGGCCAGTGGTGACTCTGCTTAAGGCTGTGAGATCTCCAAGATAAGCCAGAGGCATATAGCAAACATCACAGCATGGCTTCAGCCTGGTTCACATCTGGAAAGCTACTCCATAGCTGTCAGGGTAAGATTTGCTTTACTTTTTCTTGGAATATTTAATTTTCTGCAAAAAAAAAAAAAATCATTAGACCTCTGCACCCTTTGGTTGAGGGAACTTTCCAAGAAGTTATATAAATTAATTACTTTATGATGTATTAACTGGAGAAAGAAGTAATAAAAAACCTTCACCACTGGGCCACTTACCACTGCTATTTTAATTTTGTCTATACTCTTATTTAGCTCCTTTTGTTGTTAACTGCTTAGCCTTATATCTTAGGGCAGAAAAGGAAAGGTTTGAATATAACTCTATTTCTTGAGAAACATCTCTAAAAATTATTCAGGTTACATTAGTCACAAACTTGTGTATGTAACAAGTCCTATGAGCCTTCCAAGCGGAACGTGGCTGCTTCATAAGCCAGAATCCACAGATCCACCTTTACCAGTTGTTTTCACCAATGCCAAGCCACAACAGCTTAGCAGAACTCTGCAGGTGCCCAAAGATCTGTGCCAATATGTTTCAGTGCAGGATCAGGTCCTTATACGATTAGCTGCTCACATAGGGCCCCCATCCTGCAACTGCAATAGCTCAGGGGGACGACTATTACAGACGCACTGCAGGACTGGAGCCTAAATAATCAAGTATATATTTAAACATCCTTCTCCTCTCCATAAAAAAAAGCACAATTCTTGAGAAAAAGAGGGAAAAAAGAGGGGAAAAAAAAGAGGGAAATAAAAAAAATAATAATCCTTTGAAGGGCAAGCAGGAGCAAGAGTCTTCAGACCAAGCTCCGAACTCGACATGTACTGTCTCTAACCTTATTTGTTTTTTTTTTGTTTTAAAGGTGGCTTATAGGTTCTTTATTAAAGATAAATTTTTTTTGCAAATATTTACTAATATTTGATAAATATTAGTAATTCCTTTCCATCGCCCTCAAATGGTAACCTTATGTGGCCCTTGTCTTAAAGACAAATCCAATATGGAAAAACATCAGTCCAAAAGATGCAAGTTTGGGAGCATTTAAAAAAAAGGTCAGCAGTTAGGAAAAAAAAATATATATATATATCATACTACTGGCTGTAACAGCAGAGCAACCACAGGGGTAGCTCCCTTGGGATCTACTGATTTTTGCTGATTAACTTCATAGCTTTCTGTCATATTCTCTCACAGCGTAGCACACAGATGGCTGGATTTGAAATTAGAAGGTGAAAAAGGTATTAAGAATTTTCTGTGAAATGGAGTTGTGGTGCACTCAAGATCGTGTGCCAACTGAGAAAATGGAACGTGCTTAAAACTCTGGGTCAGTATAAAAGCCCAGGGCTCTGAACAATACCCACGTAAGAAAAGAAAGCATGAGATCCAGGGATTCGCAATCTAATCTGCTTTCAAGACAGTCATTTGGCTTCCTTGTTACTGAGTTACTACTCTGAAAATCTGGCGCCGTAAACTTGGGACTTGAACTCCAAAGCCCTCCACAAAATCCCACCATGCCTATTTCTTTCCAACCCAGCTATGCCAACCTTTAGAGCAGGAAGCTCAGGACAGAGCGCTGAAATAACACTTCGAAATGTGCAAGTACAGACTGAGCCTGGACTAACAAGGTCTTCTGAGCAATAAGACATTTTAGCTCATGCTTGGTACCAACACAAAAACATTTCTATCATTTCCAGACACCGCCGAGTGCAAACAGAGCATGCTCATACATCCTTGCAAAAAATCACTGTAGAGAAGTTTAGAGAGGTCAGTTTAGAAACTTTTCAGAGAAGCATGCAGGGCAATATACGTATGGCACTGAGCTGAGAACAGCAGCTCAACTGGGTGAGAAGAACAAAACAGCAGGTCTAAAAGCTCTGACCTAGCAGGTTACATTTCTACCAGGTAGCACAAGCTCTTTAATGCACACGAAGAGCTTTCAGCATTGGACTAGGACGCTAACAGATTTCATAAGAGTTTGCATATACTTAGCTAGTAAGCCTGCAATATGACAGATGATACAATTCATTATCAGTTTTTTCTCACTTTATCAGTCGTGAAAAGTATTATCACGTGCACGTGCCAGGCAGAGGTTTGAGTAACAAGGAGGGAGCTGGCCTGATGAATTTAACAGTGACACAGAAACTTCCACAAAGTTCAGGAGTTCTGTATTTGGTTCTGCCATGAGCCATGTGACATTACCTTAACATCCCTGGGTCTACTCTGCCACCTCTAAAACGTGGCTGGTTACACTGGTACCAAGCGTTCGCACGATTTACTTAGTTCATGACTGTAAAAGTACACAGCATGAGAGCAAAAGGTTATTACTCCATAAAAACGTGTTCTTCTTTAACAAAGCACGTAACATATACGAATGACAGTGCCCTCTGTGGTCCACGATACACACTCTTAAAGACTTTTCTGTTCATTTATCAGTTCAGAAAGTGATTTGTTTTGATGCTTTGGTAGGATGAAACGCTAAGAGTCAACCTGAACTCTCCCTTTCTAG